GCAGCATTATTTACAATAGCCAAGATATGCAAGCAACAGAAACGTCCATCAACAGACAAGTGGATAAAAAAGTTGTGGTACATATATACAAAGGAATATTACTTGGCCATAAAAAAGAAGAAGAATGAAATCTTATCATTTGTGACGTCATGGATGGCCCTAGAGGATACTATACTAAGTGAAATAAGCCAGTCAGAGGAATACAAATGCCATATAATTTCACTTAAATGTGGAATCTAAATAACAAAATAAGAATAAACAAAATAGAAATAGACTCATAGATACAGAGAACAGAGTGATGGTTTCCAGAGAGAAGGAGGTAAGCAGATTGGGTGAAAAAAGTGTAGAGATTAAGAAGTACAAATTGGTAGTTACAAAATAGTCACAGGAATATAAAGTACAGCATAGGAAATACAGTCAACAATAATGTAGTAACTATGTATGGTGCAAATATTAGGGAGATCACTTCGTAAAGTTTATGATTGTCTAACCACTATGCTGTACACCTGAAAGTAATACAAAATAATACTGAATGTAAACTGTAACTAAAAAATAAAATTTAAGTTAAAACAACCCCTCCAAAAAAATAAAAATAAAAGCATATACCTTGATTTTCCAATCTCAACATTTAATAACATTAATTCATGCAATGCAAATCCCAAAACTACTTATTTGCACCTTACTTACAAGTACGTCAGAGATGGAACATGGGAGATTTGGCACTTACTATTTTGTTTTTAGCTTTGGAGCTTGTACTATATCTGAGACCAAAAAAGCCCTATAATATCCTATTACTCTTATTATTTTCTTCTCCTCTTATAGGCAGGCACCAGAGAAATTATATTCTCACCGCTACATACATAATATCTAGTACTACTACCTAGTAGTATATAATACATAGTACTACTACTAGAGTAATACCTAGAAAGTCCTTTAGATATTTACTGAGAGAATGAATAATTACCTCATTCACAGGGGTTTTATGGGACCCACAAGTCTGCACAAAAGGGTAATTCAAGCAGCCAAACACATGCCTCAAGGACTAAACAAAACATGAAGAAGAGTTGGCCTTGGCAGAAATCCAAGCTGGATAAAACAAATACTAACGGCAACTGGAAGGGAAGGAACATGATGATAACCCAGAGCAGATGTAGAAGCAAGAGCCCTGAAAGAAGTAAAACGAAAATGAAGCTCTGGAAGAGAAGCTCTGGCAAACTAAGGAGGCGCGGGACAGGGTTATTCAATCTGAGCACTGCTGACACTCGGAACCAGGTAGCTCTACAGGGATCTGTCTTGTGCACTGTAGGGGTTTTAACAGCACCCCTGGCCTGGGCCAACTAGATGTCAGTAGTACCCCTCTCCCCAAGTTGTAACAACCAAAAATGTCTCCAGGCATAGATGAATGTCCCCTGGGGGAAGAGTAGGGGTGCAAAGTCACCCTCAGTCGGAACCACTGATTTAAGGCCTTTTGAGCTCATCTTGCTTATTTGGGGGATATGTGGGCAAATATGACAAAAAGGTACAGTATTGAGATAGGAAAATATATGACTCATTCCATCATTTTCAATAATGGGGCAGTTTAGAGTTAGAAAGCACAAAATGAAATATTTAAAACTCGAGTGACCAGCAAGACGCTTGTGTAAACAAAAGCAATTTGTTCTGAAGAGAAGAAACTTGTTAGGAACAGGGAGAAAGTTCCCACAGGTTACTCAGGAAGGAGCATGACTGACGGCTCATCCTGGGTTATAAGCTGTGGAAGGACAAAGCCACTGTAAACTATGGGGGACCATGTACCTGGCGCAGAAGGGACACTCAGGCAATCATCTGAGTAAAGGGGAACGACAAATACCTATACTCTTCTTAACCTGCTAACATAAAAAGCAACCACGACTGCTCTAGCTGTTGGAAGTCATCAATTCCTCAATGAAAGGGATATGAAATTAAATAATTCAACACAGTTTCTGTTTTTCAATAATGCTAAACAACTGAGAACTCTGCAAGACTTACAAAAAACAATTTAAGAATGTATGTGGCATATATAGTCTGTATTCTGGATGATATCAATGAAAAACCATTAGGTCTGAATGGCTTGGAGGCCCCAAGAATATCTTCCATGTCTCTGCATGGTGGATGTTTTCATTATATGAAAAAAACATAGACAGTTACCTTTACTTCCCTGAGCAAGTTAATTTACTGTGCTGACTTGGATTCAGGTTTCTTGTTGCCTAATTATATTGTTAATTTTTTGGTGTTTTGGGATTTTTCTCAATCTCTGGCTTTTATTAAAAAACTGTCTTTAACATTCTTTTCTCCACAGAATGATTATTACATAAAATGAAGACAAATTTTGTGTAGTAAAAAAAATTAATAATTCACTTAGAACTTTATATTTGTTACAGCTAAAAGTAAATTCAAGACTATCCAGTTTAATGTCATAATCTACTTGATTTGAATATTTATAAGTCTAAACATTTTAAATTATTTATCTAGCACAACTGAGTTGGGCAATGGAAACCTGTGATTAGAGGCTACTGGTAAAAAGATAAACTAATAAAAAATTGTTTATAATAATAATGTTTCTCAAGTCTTGAATATGTTTACATAAGGTTTGCAATATGAAAACAACAGTGCAAAAGTAGATTACTTGAAGTTCAACTTTTAAACCCCTTGTTTTAGAAGGTGAAAAAAGGGGAGCAGGTATTATCCTATATATAGGACATTTTTTAAAACATTAATATTGTGATTGTCTTGCCGAAAATTTAAAACAAAAAGATTTAAGCCTAATTTTGGCTTAGAATGTATTTCATGTAATTATTTAGATAAAAATGCTTTTCGGTCATTGAAAGCTGAACAAAGAAATACTGTGAGTTCATTATTGGTTGGCTTGGTATTTTAGTAACAGTTGTGACGGTGACAACTAAGCTTCTGGGCTTTGTGTCTCGTTGCCTGTCTCTATCTCTCTCTTTATTTCTTCCTTTTCTTCCTTGGTTTTCCTAAGTGGGTTTTTAAATACTCATATACTCTACACGTATGATGAAATCACATTAAAAATATTTATTGAATATATAAATATGTAGTACATGTTAAATATATAAAAATGAATACATATATATGAAACCACTGACATAATCATACTCTTAGATTTCATAGATGAGAAATGAAGGCCAAGAGAAAACGGTTGATTTAATCACTGACAGAAAATTAGTGGCAGAAACAAGGCTACATCCTAGTCTTCTGATTGGCGTTCTATCCTGCTCCTGACTTCCCCTCTCTTTAACCCAGCGAGAAGATAGGGTTTTTTTCCTTTGCTTTACTGTCTTAAAGAGAAATGGGTTTTCAGCTGAGAAATTATATGCCACTCATTCCTTGTGGGATTTGGTTAATTTGTTGGCATTGTGAATTTTTCCCCCACTTCTTGCGTATTCTCTTTAGCCTGGTCCTCACTTCACCAGTGTAATTCTCTCCCGGGTCCCTGTTCCGAGCCCAGGATACGTTTCTTGCTACAGTGGGGTGTCAATCACCGTCTGCCTCCTAGACAGCTAGTAAGTGGGACATGCGTCACTCCCACCTCTATGCTAACCTGGAGACACTGAATCACTCACATCGATACCACATGCCTACATTAAAGGGAGTGAAAACTGGAAGGAAACTTCTGAATGAAGGATGAAAGTAATAAATTCAGAAGTAATCTTGGAAAAATATCCGGGAGATTTTAAATTTTTTATACTTGATGAAGAAAATATATCTTAGCCTCAACTTGTAATCATTACATTGTATGCATTCAATCAGATGAAGCCTAGGATAAGTCACTTCTGTGTGATTTCTGGTAATATTGCTTAGGCTGCTGTTTCTTTTTTTCTCCTACTAATGAATATGACATTTACCCTTTAATGTCAACTCTCCCATACTGCCAGACACTTAAAAAAGACCGAAATAATTGAAACATGAAAAAAACACATCAAAATGTTTTCAAATCAATGAACATCTATTCTCGAAAAATAGTTTTTCTTACAACAAAAACTTTTAGAATGCTTTTAAGTATTTGAATGAAGCTAGTAAAGTTTAAGTTAATGCAAAGGTCACCAACACAGTTATGTATCTATCATAATTGTATAGTGTTAACATGTACTATATTAACGTGGTTATATGTTTTCCTTTTGTTGGTGTGTTTAACTTCTTTTTTCTTTGACATATTTTCATAGACTGTCCATAAAATTAATAACCTTAACTATTAAAGTGAATTCTTCCTTAAGACATTATCTAGCTTCTATTAGATTTAGATAGTGCCAAGAAAGAAAATTGTACATTAATACAATCTAGTGTAAAAAAGCATTTATTGTTGCAGTACTTGCATGCCACACTTCTCATTCCACCCCCAACCAAAACTAATTTTCTTCACTAACTTTTTTACTTAAATAGAATGATAATTCACCTTTGATTACATCATATTACAATAAGTAAATTATTATTGCCTGTTAGTCTTCCTATTTATTTTCATTTATATAAATGTATCCATTTTGGGACTTAAGAAAAATAAATAACACATATCTGAAATAAGTTTTCCTATAAATAAGCAATTTTTTGGCCTCAGGTCATATTTTTAATCACACTTGCTTTCTCTTTCTGTAGAACATTAAACAACTTTTAAACATGTCTTTTCTCCCTTAAAGAAGTCAACAGCAATGCAAACTATATATATTTTACATTATACATGTGCATTTTCACTTCAATTATTATTCTGGCATAGTTTTGTCACTATCATTGATTTCTAGCTACAAGTTCTAAAATTGGACAGAACTCTAGTAAATGAATTCCTTTACCTTGTTATATTCATTCCATAGTATTTCAAATTATCATTTGTATTCCATAAACAAAAGTTGCTTTACAAATATTTAGAGAATCAAATTTATGAGAATGATAGTCTCGATGACCTTCAAATTGTCCTTAATAAGACACATAAGGAAAGAATGTAAATATTTGCGATTTCAGTACAGACTTACCTTGCCTACATATTGATAATCAGATCCCGTATATTCTTCCAGTAAGAAAAATTGATTCCACATCCAACCACGTTTTTGACGATGCAGAATTTTGCCATCACTCCTAGGTACGCGTGGACCCAAAATTCTTTGCTGAGGCACAGGAGTCCTTCTGAACATTATCTCTGGAGAGCAGAAGTATGGCAAGCATACCCAGAGTAGAAACAGTAGCAAAAATTGATATATTGTCATAGTTCACTTCTTGAAAATTCCCAACACCAACGAAGAGAAAGCAGTCCTGTTGTATTGGGTTGAATTTTACTGTGTTTCAACTGGTTTCCAACATTTCATCAATGTTTTGGACATGTTTCCAAAAGCTTCAAACAAACAAACAAATAAAAAAAAATCAGTTGATAACATTATGAATGTTACCTGTCATTTTAAACTTAATGTGACAAAGATTAATGAATAATAGCAACCTAATATTTATTTCCCTCCTTTACATAAAATGATTAATTCTGAGAAACATTACTTGTCTAGCAACATATCTATAATTTAAGAAAAGATAATAGCAAATAATTTCTTTCAAACACATTCTAAAGAAGGGACACACTGAGCTTTTATTTCTTTTTTTGCTTTGGCATTTTAACAGTTTTCAGGAATTATAATCACTATATAGAGTAAAGAAGTAGTTAATTTTGCATGTCAACTTTTCCAGAGTGATTTAACATAAGTTAAAACATTAAGAACAAAATGGTGATATAAATAGACTACAGAAAACATGCATCTGCTGTGCAATGTAATGGTATGTAAATGTTTTTTAAACAGTGGCACTGTGTCTTCAAATTTAATCCTGTTTGAACATAAAAGTAAAGTAAAAAACAAAAGCAAAGTAGGAGTGCCTTCACTGAAGACTTCCCCAGAGACTGGCTTATGGAACACCTAGAGTTTCCTAAAATAGAAAAAAAAAAAATCACTACTACAGCAAGTCAATTTGTAATATAATGAACACTATTGTCTGGAAGAATTCAATCGTGTTGTTATGTTTGGGAACATAACACACCCACTGGCACTCTGCAGGGCTGGAGCTCCGTGAGGCCCGACTCCCTGCACCGCCCTTCCTGCACTTACTTTATCAACAATACCGCCCAGGTGCTCCCATTAAGATGTCAGTCAGACCACGTCATAAATCTGCACAGAACACTCCAGTGACTTGCCATCTCACTTTCATTAAAACCCAACGTCTGACGAGGACCTACAACTCCGCACCTGGTTTCGTGACTCTGGTCACTTTTCTGGCCTCATGTTCTACTCTAATCCCCCACACCGGGCCCTGGAATGTGGCCTTTCCAGCCAGTGTTCCTTTCACTTCACTTTCACCCTGCACCTTTCCAATGGTTCCCTCTTCCTGGAATGCTTTTCTCTGTAGAAATCAACTTCAGGATAATGCTCGTTTCCTTCAAAAATTTCTTGAACCACCACTAACATGTCTTATTTACCAATATACTGCATGTGTTTTATTTGTTTATTGTGAATATGTTCTGTCACCCTGCTATAATCCCATAGAAGGAAAGGAATTTCGCTCTTTTCTTTGCTATTGTTTTCACAGTGCCTAGAAAAGAGAAATATTATGCCTAGTAGATTCTCAATAAACACTCTGATTGAATGAATGAATGAATTATAACATCTGAGTACCAGGCTTCCTCTAGTAGTTATGTTCCAACATTTTTGAATGAAAAAACATATTTTAAAATTATAATTATTTAATTTTATTCTTCATTTATATTATTGTTTGAATATTACTTTTTATTTTAAAATTTTCCATTTGTGTTTTTGCTTTGTTTTGTTTTCTGTTAGGCATGAATTTTATTTTAGGATATAATAAAATATGTTATATAAAGTGGTTTGGGGACCAAAAGGATTGAGTTCTACTTCTCTAACATAACAATGCATTCTCAGTATTCCAGCATTGACATTTATGCTTTGATCCACAATGATTTGTAAGCAATTTGTTTACTTTTATTGCTTTATTATTAAGAAGATTTAAAGGTTAATGCAAACACGCTTTAGAAATAAGATTCATGGTAAAGCAGTATTTCTCTTGAGTGCTTTAAATGGCAGTGGAGCTCTCCATAGCATGTGGAGCGTACAAGGTGACAGATGTGAATTGTATTAAAACACATCCTGTAACGCTATACTCAGAACATAGAAATTATCTGATGCATAAAACAGTTACATCACAAAGCACTGGCTCCACAGAAACTCAAACTGATTGGATTCTAAGTAATAGAAACATTTACCAAAATGATGTTTGTCTTTTAACATGCCTTTTTAGGATGTGTTAGGTGTTATTTTCTATAAACTTATACTGTTCCCTAAGAGTTAGAGGAGAGCTTATGTAATTCAGGGTTCTCTCTTCTTTGAAAACTTTAAAACTTGTTGAAGCAACAGTCATTCTTATTTCATCTCTTTTTATACATTTAAAAAATATTTGCCAGCAACTATATATCAGTGATCATTTTCAATACAATTATAACATGACCTATTATTTTGGAAGTTTAAGCACTGATATTTTGGGAATTAGTAGATGGAAATTTTATTTGTAAAAGTTGTTAGTAAATAACTGGCACTCCACATGTGCATGGAATCTTTTCTTCATTATTGTTCCCGTGTCTGTTATTTATGATCAATTTCCTAAAGGGTCTATAGCAAAATACATTATTTAATACTGATTTAAGGTCTTTAAAACATACTTGACATAAATATTTGATAAAATCATTTCACACAATAACAAGTTTAAATAAAAATAAAAAAAGCAAAATGTTTTCAATTTTGATTAATTTGATTTATAATTTTTTTCTTTAATAGATTGCACCTAATTTAAGGTCAAAAGATTTTCTCTTATGTTTTCTTTTATAATTTTATAGTTCCTAATTCTTGGTTTATGTTACCAGATATAAATAGAAAGCTTTCGTTTTGCTTATGAATAACCAATTTGCTCCAGCACCATTTGTTGAAAAGTCCATCCTGTTTCCACTGTGCCTTTGTCAAAGATCAGTTGTCTACATATATGGGTCTAATTTTGGACTCTGTAGTCTCCTACATTCATCCATTTGTCTGTGCTTATACCAACAGTACACTGTCTTAATTGCTGTAATTTAGAAATCTTGAAATCGAATAATATTAGTTCTCCAACTTTGGTCTTCTTTTACAAAAATTTTTGATCATTTTAGGTCTTTTGCATTTGCAATTTAATTTTAATTTAATTTAATTAATTAATTTATTTTTAAATATATATTTATTGATTTCTGAGAGAGGAAGGGAGAGGGAGAGAGAGATAGAAACATCAATGATGAGAGTCATTGATCGGCTGCCTCCTGCACGCCCCCAACTGGGGATCGAGCCCGCAACCTGGGCATGTGCCCTGACCAGGAATCGAACCCCGATCGCCTGGATCCTAGGTCGATGCTCAACCGCTGAGCCACGTCCAGCCGGGCTCAGTTTAATTTTTATAATCACTTTGCAATTTATATATAAAATCCTGTGGGGATTTTGATTGGGATTACATGCATTACTGAGTTCTCAGTAATGTTTTATAGATTTCAGTATATGGGTCTTGCTGAACTATTTTTGGATCCTCAAGAGATGAGAAGACAGGACACACTACTGCTCCCAAGATGGGAGAGGTGACAGGTGAATAGAGGGACACGGTTTACCACCCACTCATGAGCAGAAAGCACTCCAGAATGGGTAATGGGGTAAGGAAACTGAACTGGACTTGATGAATTGTGCACGATTCCTAAAATTAATAACTCCAGGGGTACCCAGTCAGGGGCGGAAGGGGTGAGGTAGGAGCTCAATATTGTGGGATTTACCTGCAGCAGCTTGACCTGATTTCCACAGCAAATATCTGAGAAAAATCCCCCGTGCTTCTTCAGACAAGGGGAGGGGAAAAGCAAACATTTTGAAAGAGTTCAGATCACTCTGATCTTAACCAGGCCTACCCTCGGAAGAAACTAGTTAACCAGAGCCTAACCTGCTGCAGCATTATGAGAGCCCAACTGCCCTGGGGGAAGAAAAATATCCAATTCAGCCAGCGCCCTCTGGCCATCCCTTCCCCAGTAAGGGGAAAGAGAAACTGGGGAGCACCTGTGAGTTCCACAGTCCGGAGGCCGAGGGGGGCTGAAAGGCAGCTACAGAACGCTTCCCCGGCCCCCCACCTCACGCTCCTTACTAAGGACCATTACAACAGCTCTGTTTCCCAGTACATCCTGCTTGGCTATCAAGAAAAAGAAAATTACCAGGCGTACCAAAAGGCAAAATGCACAAACTGGATGGGCAGGGTAGGCGTCAGAACCAGACACAGCAGGGACGTTGGAATGATCAGACTGGGGATTTAAAGAAACTAACATGCTAAGGATTCTCATGAGTGAAGCAGACACTGTGCAAGGACAGATGGGCAATGTAAGCAGGGAAATGGAAATCCTAAGAAAGAGCTAAGAGGAAATGCTAGAGTGAGAAACAAGGTAGAGGGAATGCATGCCTGTGACAGGCTCATTAGCAAGGGGCTGGGCAGGGCTGAGGAAGGACCTGAGCGAGGACAGGGCGACACCATCTTCAAAGCCAGACACTCACCTCCATGCCTTAATCCAAACCCGTAAGACGCACACCAGAGTGAACCCTACGGTGAACTACGGGCTCTGGGTAATTTTGATGTATCCATTTGGTTCATCTTGTTAAAAAATTTAAAAAAAAGTACTATTCTGTTAAGAAACGTTGATGAAAAGAGACTACGCATGTGTGGGGTGGGTGGGTATGCAGGAAATCTCTACTTTCTCAATTTTCTTAGAAACCTAAAACTGCTTTTAAAAAAAGAACAACTGACCAATGCACACACACGAAAAAAAAAAAAAAAAGAAATTATGTGAAACAAACCAAGAATTAACTTTCCCTATGTTAATTCTTCCTCAGTATGGTCTGTAGCTAGAAGTCTATTAATTAGCCTTCTCAAAACATGGCTCCTTTATTATCCATACCACAAATAATAATTCTTCCAGTAACCTGACTCAAAATATAAAACATCTTTGATATTTCCATTAAACCAAGTACACCTATTGGCTTTTCTTTTCTTGGCTCTCAGCTCTTTTTTCCCCCTATTATATGTGCCACTGAACTATTTTAAATCATCATCATTTCATGCAATAGAGTGTACAGTATCTACCAACAGATTTTCATAACCTTAATCTTTCTTATTTAAAATATATCCTACAGGGTGCTAAATTAATTTTCCAAAATCCACTTCATCAAAACCCAAATCAATTAAAATTTTAAACATGTCTACTACTGGGAAGATAGCATCTGAACTTTTAGTTCATTC